AAGTCATGGGTAGCCAACAAGAGAAATAAACTTTTCTAGTGAAAATATTCAGCTAAATTGACTAGGAAAAGGGATCGCAAGTAAGGTGCATTGGTAGACAGACAGATTTCAACTATAATTTTACGTTGCCAAAGGAATCTGGTGAGAGTCTTGAAGTAGCCCGTTGGTGTACTACTCATATCCTTCCCCGAAACACACTTGCCACTGATGTCTGATCTGCCGGATCGTTCGATGCTTCATAGATTATCACGGATCAAGGACGAATATGACCCGAAGCTCCGTTCTTGCGCTGTCAATGCTGTATCGTTGCAACGCTGCACAGTTGATGACCTTCTAGTGAAAGCAATCCACAAAAAAGGTTATATTTGGAGATATCTTCAAGTTCTCATAGGTTTATCATTGAAATTTCTATTGGAAATGGAGATTCTCTCTTGGACTGAACAAGAAATTTTGAAAGTAGACCCACAGGGCCAAACCTCCTTAAATGGGACATTCACAGTTAAATGACTCGTTTTCTTTACTTAACATCCCTCTTTTATTTACTGGAACTAGTGAAGGACTACACTGTGCCAAAGCATTAGCGTCAAGCGGGCTATCCAGTGAGTGCTGATCAGACTCAGTTCCGATTCTGGCCAGTGCTTCCGAGTAGTCACGCCATAACTCGTTGTCCTGATCGGTCAACAGCTGAGTAGACATATCATTTCTGCATTTGCGTTCACCCGTCTGCTGGGTAGAACCAACTTGTGAGCAGCAACACCTTCTTGCTACTTGAGACCGAATCCACACACACTGTCATGAATTTTGAAAGCCACTGTTTGTTGATTATTTGGGTATCCGCAATCGAACGAGGCCAGTCGACTTGCAGTCGGTCTGTGAGAATTGTTCCTATACGAGGATTTATCACCAGTCTGGACTACGTACATCCAGGAATGAATGATCTGCAGCTCAGAGTGAGATCTACCCTCTTTGTGCAGACTACTTGGACGGAGGGAGAGTTTTGTAAAAATGGGACACCTCAGTTGTATGTGTCAGATTCAGTAGTTATTTGATGGGAGGAGTGAAAGGTGAAACTATGTAGGATACGAAGATTGTTGTAGAAACCTAAATACATTTGTTGACCAAATGATATTCCAGTGTCCATGTTAGAAGCACTGCAATTTTGGACGTAGTTCTCCGGAATAAAAAGTGGGGGAGTTAGGAAGTGTCGTAGCATACATTGATTTCTCAGTGATCTCCGGCTTGCTCACTAGACAATCACCTTCGAGTGTTATGCGGTGACGCCAGTAAAGTACCCGCTTACAAAGCAAACTATGAACTACTGGTTATTCACTTGGCCTTTGCTCTTACTGCGTAATCATGTTAATACGGACGAAACGAATCCAACCTCTTGAACCAACATGGGCACAAATCTTAGGTTGATAGAGACGAGAGGTTATCAAAAGGGCATTCTCAATTTCGGTTTGAACTGACAGGTTTTGGAAAGGAATATAGCCACATAATACATGTTGCCAGGGCACATAATACAACTCTAGTGTAGCTTGGTTATTGTGCAACAAAACGCGTTGAATACCAGCACTTTTCCGCCTGGTTAGTTGAAAAACAAATAGAAAATTCCTATGAATATGCCTTAATGATGCTTAGTACGCTAAGGCTAGGCGCGATTATTCCTCCTGAATATTTAGTATTAGCGCTTGTCTACAAAATCCCCTTTTGGTCATCCAATTTGCTGTCCCTTGGTGACAGGCTTTCTTGTCTCCAAGACCAAATATCGATCACAAAAAGGCTAAAAAGTATACTGTCATTTAGAAGTGACAAAACGTCCTAGTTTGTAATGATCTACCTAGCACTTTGTAACGAGTTTTTCTATTCAAATGTTCTTGCTGAGCAATCTGTTGCTCTCGGCTTTTGACAGCAATACCGCTGATTCATAAGACACGTTTATTCACTTTTCTAGGATAACTGTGAGTAATCCTGTCCACAGCACATTAACCTTTCACTGAGACGGGCACAATAGTCCCCAAACAGTATAACTAACTACCAGCCAGACCATCGCCAAATCAAAGTGATGTGATGAAATAGGAGTTGGTCTGAGTCTAATGAGGGCAACTCCAAGCAGCAAATCCTTTCTCACAAATAGAGGGTCAGTTGGATTACAAAACTTCCATTTGTGTCCTCAGGTTGATAAGCCCAAAAGTATGGCCTCCTCTAATAAGGAGCAAAGTGGATCAATAACAGTATTTAACTTAGCCAAACACAACATGCTCTGTATCAGAAGCAGTTACAATAAATATCCTACTACTTGGGAAGTTGACTGCTCTAGGTTCACAACCGACCACTTATTTCCAGCTTTATAGGTGGAACAATCTTAGAGTTCTGGAAAGTCAGGGAGGTGAGTTACTTATGTGAGACACAATGAACTATCGATGGGTATCAGCGTATCGTTACGTCTGCTTCCACAGTCTTGTCTGTGGCCATAATGTGAACCAAGCTGTTGAACTTTTACGCATCTCATTCTCGCGTCCACATCAGTATCGTAAAAACAGGTAATAAAAGCAATTAGGCTGGCGTTGTGGATTCATGCATGTATGTGTCCACTAAGTAAAAGCCGCCATAAACAAACCTACTTAAGTGAAAATTGATCGGATTCAATTCTGAGTTGATTCCAGTACATCTGTACATAGTTGCTACAGTGCTAAATATGGTCCGACAGAATCAAATGAAACCAGGAGACGTTTCAGGATCACATAAGGTAATGGACCAGGTTTGAGAAGATATCAAACAAGTCAGATAAGCAATATTCAGTTTGAAGTGCCCCTTCGATCCTATCAATTTTTATTATGGTGACAGCAAACATCAAGACACTTCAGATTCAACAATTAAGTCGGTAAAATTGGTGACCTTCACAACGAGATTTCACATCAATTTTGGCCCATATATTCGGCCATGCTGATTTCTCATCAGTATTGTTTAGCACCTGTAAATATTTCATCTTGAGTGACCGTCGCTTAAGCGAAAACGGATGTTGCATGCGACGATGTGACGCATTCTTTGTACCTGATTTAAAATCTACCACATCGTTTATAAGTTTACTTTTAATTTAGAGCACAGTGTGCCAGCTGAGTTTTGTATGAGCGGACTAAGTAACCAAAAGTGTTCTGAACAGATAGTTGGAAACTCAGTCTACAAAAGTGAAGTCCGGAATCCCGAAGAAACAGACCGAATGAAGTCACCATGATAGGATTGTCGCCGTGGAACGCTTCACATTTTACATCGGTGACAGTTATTGATCAGCTCGGAAGTGGCATTAAACTGACAATGGTGAATAACCAAATATGCTGTTTCGTAACAGGCCACCTTCTAATCACGATCACTTAGACCGTTGCTTATGGGGACTTGTACATAGTTTGAGTAGAGCGTCTCACACACCGCATGTTTCAAGTACACCACCTATCAGATAACCACTATTGTTACGTGTAGGGACTTCACTAACCAAGTCGTCTTTGAGTTTCTTTCTGTTGAAAAACGTTCTCTTTTATTTCAGATTCACTCTTAGAATAGTTAGTTGCTGAATACTTGTTTGCAAATGGAATAAAAAACCGGTTTGTGGTGAATACGATGTAAATCCAAAAAAAAATAAGTTTGGTAGGCAAGAATGGACAGGTCTACTAGAAAACACCCGCTGACCTATGCATGAAAATGGACTGAACTTATCTGCCATCAGAATTTTGGAATTTTCAGTAAAAGATCATACAATGAAGCAATTTGGACGCAGTAGTAATCTAGAGATGTTCGAAACTAAGCGCCTTAGTCGGGTATTTAGATTCTGTGGTAATGGCAACACGCAAATCTTCAGGAATTACTTCAGGATAGACTAAACTTACCCGTCAAGACTTCAAGGCTTACCAAGCTTCGGAAAACGAGTGACTTGGTTTGCTCATGCAAGAGCAGAGTGCAAGAATATGCACTGTTGAAACTGTTCATCCTTTGTTCGAAAGCTATAGCCTCCTCAAAAATTCCTCATGCACAGAAAATCTTGACTGACCGTATAACTTTGTGTACAAATCAGCGCAAACATACGATGAGATGACAACCGAAAGCATTTGTGTGACTAACAACGCAAAGTGGTGAACTTTCGCCGACTATTTAATTATAATCCGGTAAAGTTTCTGTGCTGTGATCATTTCAAACAGTACTAAACGCATTCGCGGGTCTGTCAGGCAATCTGAATGGACAGACGAGCGAAAATGGCCCCGGCTTGCCGCTCTATCTTACAGCCTTTCTAGCCAAGAACGAGGAAAGTGACGTAGACCCCTTTCTGGATGGTGCATCGCACCTACGGCATCCATACTTTTACTCACATTATCTGTTTTTTCCCTACGAAATCATACGCCATTCCGAATTCAGGGTACGATACAGAACTCATCTTGGTCTAGCACAATCCTGCACGCGTAACATCTGAATAAATCACGGCAGTTTGTGACGCGTGGATTATACCTAGAGTGAAACACATGTCGTATTACCAAGCAATCCTTTAATAATCTTACTGTTATAAATTTGATGGACCTAGACAACACAGGCGGAAGTTCTGAAGCACCGATTATCAAGAACTTTAGGACGTCACAAATCTTCCAGTCGCAGAAACCATCTCTCACAACTGTGTAACAACCCTACAGCAGTCTGATACAAGCTAAACTTCGGTCCCAGTGCAACACCTGTTTGCTCCAATGGACTGAGTTGATTCGGGCGATTCAAGATGACTAGTCAGGAGCGCTTAATGGAGGTTACCCTGTTCGGCAAGACCAACGGTAGATAGGAAGACACGTTTGCAAATCAGTTCTCCTGTTCAGCTCCGGATAAATCTGCTACCCACTCGATTTAAGGTGGATAACCACATCCAACCTGCATACCCCTTAGAGCCTTCTCTTCAACAACTTTTCCTAATAGCTTTGATGGTAATCACTTTTGTGCAAAATATGGACTCAGCTATTATGGGAACTCACTTTCGACATGATATCCTCGTTCACTTCCCTTTCTGGTTCAGCCCAGTCAACCGCGATTTGTTGATTCCATAGCTGGATTTTTCCCGGCATAAGCTTTCTTCGTGCCATTGCAGCCGCTTTATGACTTTCATACTCAACGAAGGCGAAACCACGGTTTTTTGACTTGTCAGTCACGCTGGGATAGGAAATAACATCCTTCACGCCTTCGGTGACGCGTCTCATCTCAACCATGATCTCTTCACGTGTCTTGTTTTTGGGTATTCCACCAACAAACAGTCTGCAATTGTCTACACTAAAACACACGCCGATTGTTTTTCCTTTTCGAATTTCATAATTGTCCAGTGTTTGAACAGCTTTTTTAGTATCTTCACGATTAGTGTAGACACAAAACCCGTAGCCTCTGTTTGTCCCATTGAATTCCATCATTAGACGAAACATATAGATTGGGCCGATTTGTTCAAACACGGGAATAAGTTCTTCTTCAAAACAATCACGCGGTATTTTTCCAATAAATACTTCACACCCCCGTGGAGGTGGCTCTGCCCTCCAATTACGTGGGGGACCGTAACGCCGTTGCCCATTTTCTTGGACGATTGAGTATTTGATACTTTCTCTTGGTTTACCGATTCCCTCCTCTGGAGGAAGAGCAGCCGCATTCTGATTCCCTTGCCTTCCGAGAACGCCAGTCGAGGCACTCATAACGGCCGCTTTTGCTTGTCTACTGGGGGTTAGATGATTCACTGAGTTTGACGACAAGGCAGGCACTTCCCTGAGCTGCAGCGTATTTAGACTGGCGGTGACTTGATTAACGTCTGTCAAAGGCATGACGATAGTAACAAACAACGCCGAATGGTTGGGTAGCTTATGACTGTGGTTGATTGTTTGTGTGCACAGTGCAGTTTATTCTACATGCACAGCACGTCGAACTGCCGAACTCACGCGCTACTGGACCTCGTTCGAAAGCTGATTGGAGCTTTCTGCTCAAGCTGTGACCTTGTTGTCAAACTGGCGAGTGTGCAATGTGTTCGCGGGTGTGAACAAACTAAGTGCGGTTCAGTCGTGCTCGCAGCTGGCTTTAGTCTATTTCTATGCGACAGGCAACAGCGTAACTTCCTACAGCTGATCAGCTTCACTTTGTAACGGGGGGTTTGATTAACAACTGGGTCGAGCAATTGGTCGATTAATCTGGTGGTTTGAATTTTCGATGTCCAGTGCACCTGACACTTCACTTGTAGGTCTGACATGCCTGCTTCCACCTGCATCTTGCCCAATCACGGGATAAGCTCTGATACTATCAGGACTTTTTGTGTACACCGAACTTTCTGATACATACAAAGTATGACAACGTCTGAACGTTATAAGCAAGTGGATTGCCTCAAGCAGTGGACCACACGAAAGAATACTACCAGCGGTACATTTGTCTGCACTTGGTATCACTGTGGATCTACAAAATTTTTAATGTTTGAGAGAAAATACACAAATCACACATCTAACATGTGTTGTCCACCTGGACAGGGAGACGCGCCGTGGATACGTGGGGGCACTTTTCCTCAGAATATCGAGTTTTAGCTACAGACTGTTAATTTTTCTGGTTCACCAAATTGCCCGAGGTTCTTTCTGGTACATTACTGCTCGTTTCATTCATTCATTCATTCATTCATTCACTCATTCATTCATTCATTCGTTCGTTCAGTCATCGATTCATTTATAATAAATATCAGCACTGTGGAATCCATGATCAGTCCATGCTGAACGCGCCTTGCATATGCTGTCGTCAGAACTGTAAGAGTAATAAAAAGAGCACCCTGTACTCTGGTATCACCACGTTTCGTCACCCAAGGTAAGTACTGATGGCGTTTGTGATGTGACAGGTTATAATCAGTCTTTGTAATCAGCTAACTTGTTAGACATTTCCCGTCGAAGTCCAGTCACGAGTCGTCAGGCCTTTTGAAGGCATTGTTGCACTGGATGAGTTGAAGCGCCTTACTTTCTGTGTTCTGTCAGACCTTGTCGAATTGCGTAACAGGGCATACCTTCCATAACCACATCAGACAATTAGACTTGATAGCGTTTTTCATTGAAGCAGTACTTTACATTACGAATAGATCCTGATCAACGAGGGTTCATAGAATTATTGGGACTGATTTGTTTCTCCATGGGGGTCATTCGTTAGGAGTGAGTGGGTGGTACTGTTGCCACCTACCCTCTAAGGTTAATTCTGCGCCTGTAAGCAAACCTTCAGTCGTCAACCTGATTGATCCAGTGACAAGGAGCAGCAGATCAGAACATAGCCAGCAGATCACGCTTCATGCATACGTCAACAAATAGTTGGCTCGACATTTTTACGTTTGATAGCATATAGATATTGTTCGCTGTACTGATGTCAAATTCTAAAGAATCGTCCAGTTTCAGCCACAAAAAAACGAGTTTTGAGTTAAAATGAGAGTTGCTGAATCGTTGCAAAGTATTTCAATGATGCAAGCCGCTGTTTTTAGCGATTCCTTTGTCGACTGAAAGTGTGGAAGCGCCAGCACATTTCAGTACTGGTGGTAGAATGAAATAACGTTTTCAACGACGTTCTATTTCCCCACGTAGGACCGGTGTGAAGTAAATCGTTAGGGGTGTATGGCGGTGAAACACCAATGGTGACACAGGCTTTACTATTGGTGACGATTTTTTGAGTCGGACAATAAGGCTTAGGTACCTGTTTCCCTTCCAGTTTTCTTTGGATGACCTTTGTGATATACTCTGCGAAAGAGTGACAAAGTCTATCGCTCGTGGCCTCATTTCCTGCCTGCGTGTTTTCTACGATGGTAATGCTAACAATCATGATGGCGCTGAGATATATTTTATGGCCGTTAGCCGATGTCAGTGGTATTCATGCCGTCAACTTTTATCCTTGTTATCTGAATGAGCTGTTGTTGGTGTGGACCTTTCCGAATGATTATGGTGTGCTAACACCCTCCTCCTCTTTCAACTTTAACCATTTGTAAAATTGACTTCTTGTGGTTACATCACAGTAAAGCACTAGTCTTTATACTGAAGTTGCCACCACTGACGATGACGACGACAAAGATGCTAAGGGAGTATGTGCAAATCGTCTAACAGGTCTCGAGTGTCCGTGGTGCCACCTGACCAGGAACTCCTGAAAGCGGGTCAGCCAGTCGACACAACAGGATGGTGAATGAATCGTCGTTCGGGTTACCGTGCAGACCAGTCATATCGCTCAACCGTGAACGCAATCGCCTGTTCAGACATCACAATTCGGGTGTGTCCAGCGTGTTAGTTAAAACGCACTCGTCTGGAATGTCAGATATCCGAAGTTGAAACCCATTCACGGCCAGAGCGCTGCTGCTGAGCTTTAATAACAGTGAAACTCGAATTCAATGTTCCCCTCCTTTGGTGTGGACTCACCAGGGCATGCAGAGGACTGTTCAAACGAGCGTGACGTGAACACAAATTCTACGATTTCCGCGGCCACCTACCTACAATCGAAAAGTCGTCCAACAGGTTTCAAGCTTCCGTAGCATGACCCAACTGGGAGGTCATGACAGGCGCGTCAATCGATCGAACAACCAGGACAGTTAGTGCGTCGTCATTTGAACTTTCAAGCAAATTGCCTAAGCATGAACAAAGCCGTTCGTTCAGACGTGATAATTCGGGTGCATTTCGTGTCAGCTATCGGGAGTTCACACCCTGGTACGACCGAGGAAGTGTTCTTCTAATGTGATCTAGCAGCACTCGTCTGGAATGTCAGATATCCGAAGTTGAAACCCATTCACGGCCAGAGCGCTGCTGCTGAGCTTTAATAACAGTGAAACTCGAATTCAATGTTCCCCTCCTTTGGTGTGGACTCACCAGGGCATGCAGAGGACTGTTCAAACGAGCGTGACGTGAACACAAATTCTACGATTTCCGCGGCCACCTACACCTAATCGAAAAGTCGTCCAACAGGTTTCAAGCTTCCGTAGCATGACCCAACTGGGAGGTCATGACAGGCGCGTCAATCGATCGAACAACCAGGACAGTTAGTGCGTCGTCATTTGAACTTTCAAGCAAATTGCCTAAGCATGAACAAAGCCGTTCGTTCAGACGTGATAATTCGGGTGCATTTCGTGTCAGGTATCGGGAGTTCACACCCTGGTACGACCGAGGAAGTGTTCTTCTAATGTGATCTATCAGGAATGAAACTTTAGTCCAGTGCTCCCCATCTTTGGAGTGGACTCACTGGAATGATGCCGGGACAGGATGAGTGAGTGATGTGAATGTGTAAATCGCCTGAAACATTACCCTAAACCCACTCCTAACAAGAATATGCGTGTCAAATTGACTGATGAACATTGCACTACCAACAGAACGGAGCACCACTCGGGTAATATCCTGATAACGATCATATTTGGGTAGATTTGTAAAGAGGTATTAGCGTTCCAAAAACTTAAAATAACGTGGTGTGAAGCTGATATTTGTGTATCCGGTGATCTCACGACCACCGGCCTAAAACTGCTAGAACACTGAGCAAGACTGCATAAATAACATGGTTGTATTTGTTCTGCTACCAGAAAAAAAACACCTAACTCAAAGGTAGCCCGGGGAATTGCAGCTTATGCAGGACAAACTGTATACAATTATGTTTCCTCATGTTTCTTCCTGTGGCAATCCTGTTACACAGCAGTTCAAATGTAACCATATGACCATTCATAAAGTAAGCACTCTTCAGTACAACTTAGTTCACTCAGCTTTTGTTAAAAGGGGATGCTGTATCTTAATGCAGTATTTTCTCTGGTAGGTCAGGTGCCATAAGTTGCGAATCAGAAGAAAACAACGCGGAGCGCTCTTGAAGTGACTCTGTACCTTTAAATGAAAAGAAAACGAAGAATTAGTTGGGAGAAACAAAAACTGGAACTTTAGTAGGCACTCACGAACAGAGGAAGTTCAAATGCGTAGATCGTTTTGGACCGGTGGCAGTATATCTGAAGTTAATGTATTGTGACCAGAGTGAAATCACTCTGGATCGACAGAATCTCGGTTACGTTACTGCAGTCGTCTTTACAGACACGGACAAGAATTCTGTGGTATAAAGATTCATCTCCCTGAAGCAAGGGCAGATGAATTAGTTTTCGTAATGTGTCATTCTTGCTCCTGGGTTCCCATTATCGTCTGACTTCAGGTTCACATCATCATCATCATCATCATCATCATCATCATCATCATCATCATCATCATCATCAACGGCAGCATGACATCAGTGCTCAACACCAATGCTTCACTGCCGTACAGCCATGACTTATTTGAAAGCCTTATTGTAAAGAAAAGAATAAAGGTGGATGGGGGAGGGACTTAGTGCTAGCTTAACACAATCATTCCGAGGTGCCTACACCTCCAGACATTCATTCAGGCAATCTGGACAGAAACTGACAACAAGAACGCCACTGACATCGGTTGGCAGCCATATCTTGTAGTGTCTCCAACCAGGCACAGTGAGGATCACGCGGTCCCCATCCTGGAAGGCGAGTAGCACCGACAGCACCCAAGCGTTTCATGATCTCCTTCATACTCTTCTGCCAAGTCAAGGGTTGATCACCTCTCTGTTTACGCCACTCTGAACTGGACACGGAAAACAGTACTCTTCCGCAAACGATGGTTCGGCATACGCAACACAAGTCCCAACCAACGCAGCTACTGGTACTGGACATATTCTTCAATGGAATCTGCACAACCAAAAACGCGCCTTCTAACTGCCTCGTTACGGATTCGCTGACATCAACTCACACGAGCAATGGTTCTGAGACGACCATTGTCAAACACCTGAAGACGTCTCAGTTCCGCTGATCGAATAGGCCAAGTCTCACAGCCATACAACAAAACAACCCGCACTGTAGCTTGATACGCACGTCCCTTCAGATTCAAGGATAAACCATTCTGACGCCATAGGTGTCTCAAGTTAGCAAACGCGGCTCGAGCCTTGCAGATTCGTGCATTCATCTCATCTATCACACTACAATCAGAACTACTACAACTTCAGGACAACTTGCTTGAATGAAAGTCACTCAGTCTTTTGCGAACTAATCTGATAATCCTGCCAACAAAGAAGAACAACGAAGCGACCTTTCGACGATGGTGCGAGCGGCACAAATTGACTAAAAATGTCCTGTAGTTATGGAACAATCTAGTTCTTCGGCAGGTAGTTCCTTTACTGACATTCGAATGCACATCAATTAACTATGTTTTGACTCGTCACAGGGTGTGGATCAAGTTTAATTCTCGAGATGTTAGTTCATTTTGACGGTTTTCAAGCAAACAAATTTCCTTATCCCTTCGAGTGAAGCAACTTTCTTAAAGCATGTGTTTTAGAGTGCTTTTGGGAACTAATAGCAAGCGTTATGAAAATACGCTGTTGTCCAGACGTAACACAATACCCTTAAGTTTGCTGAAAACTCGTCGACAGCTTACGATCATTTTGCCATTCTTGGAGCTCCTCAGGTAGGCGCAGTCCCCGAGTTTCCGTCAACCATATGTTCTATTTGAACCTGTAAAAATCTTGAAGATGAATTTTGAAAGTAGTCAGTTCCGTAAGTGAATTTTATGGGAGTGCCGCAGGTGCATTTCAAGTAGCCTGCGATTCAGGCACACCTCTTCAACACTGTTCTTCTCTAGAGTTGCATATTTTAAATCAGTTCTAGATCGCAGGTAACTATACAGCAATACATCGGTGCTAAAGATTGATGTCATGCTGTCATTGATGATGATTATT